GATGAAAAATGAATGCCTAAGTCTTTAATTTTAACCACATGTTTAGAACGTACAAAAGAAATATTCATGTATTTACTTATGTTTATAAAGAGGTGATTTTGAGAGCATCATAAAAAAAATTTATTTAAATCTCTTTTCATATTAAAACAATCTTGCATGGAGAATATACTATTGAATATTTTTAAGCCATCTGCAAACATTAAACATTTACTACACCTAAATATTTTGGCAACATCATTTATGAACAATAAGAAAATAATAGATGATAAGTGATCTCATTGCGGTACACCCGATGTGACATGAATTATATGTGATACTTTAGAATACATTCAGACTTGTTGCGTTCTATTACTCAAATAAGATCGCAACTAAGATAAGAAATGATCCCTTATTCCTATTATATTTAATTTACTTATAAGTGCATTATGATTAACCGAATCAAAAGCTTTTTTTAAATAAGTATACATTGAGTCAACTTGTCCACCACTCTAAACTACTGAGACTAGATCTGAATAATAAATTAATAAGTTCGTTAATGTAGATCTACCTTGTTTATAACCATGTTGCGAATTACAAAAAATATATTTCACTTGACTAGAAAATTTATTTTCAACTATTTTTTCAAATAACTTAGCTAATTAGTTAAGTTTTGAAATAGGCATGTAGTTTTGTACATTGGATTTATCACTTGATTTATGAAGAGGTGTTAAAAAACTATTTTTCCACCGATTAGGGAAAGTACATGAGTTCAATGATAATTGGAAAAGGAATGAATTGGCAAAGCTAATACACAACGACATTAATAAAATATTATAGGAGTAATCCATCAGGACCACATTAACTTTCTTTCCAATATCTAAAAGAACATTAAAAACTTTAATTATAGAAATATTAAAATTATGGATATCAAGTAAATCAAAATCAGACGAACTCACATCATTACTATTTGATTTTACATCTGAATAAACAGATCTAAAATATTCACTAAATAGATTGAACCATTCACATATTTGTTAAACCAATTATACTCTCCATTTAATTTTTTATCACGAATAAAAAATTTTAAATCATTTAGGAATTTTCGTTGGTAAAGTGTCAAATCAAGAGATATGCCTACTTTATTCCATTTTACATTATTACCCAGTTTCTGTTTACATTTCAAAACCGAATAAACTTCATTAGCATTCAATAGTTCAATTAAAACTGGTTTTGGTTTTGTATTAAATTTACCAATACGTTTACAGGAATATACTGTGATAGATAGTGAAAAATCATTAATGAAATGATGAATACAGTTAGGTAATTGTTCATGGGTTTCATTTGAATTATCCGGAATATTATAGATTATAATATTTTGATTTTTAATACTTCTATCTTGTGATTCTTTCACTATGTCAACAGGAGCCAATAATGTTGAATTAAGGGATCCACATTCAAAATTTTTAATTTTTACTTTAAGTTCATCCCTTAAGCTTTGTATGTGTTCCCCTTAAAAAAACAAAGTTGACATCCTTACAAGGCATAAGGGATGAACTCAAAAAGTATTAATTTTATTGTAATGTTTTGTAAAGTATTACATAGTTAATGATTCAAGAATAATATGTAAAGGCAGTGGCGTGCCCAGGGCGGAGGTTAGGTGTCATATCTCTCTCCATTGCGTTTTTTTTCTACCATTGACTACCTAACAGCAATAATTGAATAAAGTTGTAATTATTAGATTGTATATTTGTATAACAACATTACATCATATACAAAACACAAAATATTAATAAATATTTTAATGAGGCTTGACCTCTAAAGCCCCCTATTAATCTTTTTCTAATTATTTCACCCCCATTAGATGTATTTAGTTGTATTAATATCTATTAGTTATGACACCCCACCCCATTTAAAATTCCTGGGCATGCCACTGTCTAAAGGTAACCAAAAATAAAATGTTTAATTAATAATTATCCTGTAAATCAGGGGTCGGCAATTACGTCCCATAGCGGTCCAAATAATTTGAAAAAAAAAATTCGAGGGCCAGTTAAAACTTAAATATGTTTATTTTTGTATTAAAAACATAGTTTAAGACAATTTATTTAATATGATATAAATTATGAAAGTATAAAACTTAAATTAATAAAATAATACAAATTTGTACATAAAAATTTACTTTATTTATTTTAATGAGAAAAATGACATTTCTTGTCCTGAGCTAATTTTTTGAAATTTGGTATTCTCGGAGAGCAACATATGCGCAGTGTTTTCAAGGTGGAGATCAGTTAATCTTGAACGATATTTCTTCTTTAAAAACGACATTTTGGAGAACGAAGTTTCACATATGTATATGGAGCCAAACATGGTAGCTAATTTTATAGCCAGTTTTCTACAGTTAATGTACTTATCTAAAATATGTTTTGTCCATAAATCTTCAGTAGATGCAGTTTTGTATTGTTGCAATGAAATATCTTCTTGCAATTCAATAATTTCTATGTGAAGTGAAGATTTTGGATATTGGAACAATTTCGTAGCTACGTCAATCCATTCTCCTGATGGAGAAACTTCAAAAGGATTTTTAAAAATTGCGAAAGTTTTCTAATTTCTGCAAAGTCTTTGAATCTTTTGGAAACTTCTTTGCTGAGATCAGACAAAAAACTTAAAAACACTGTGCAATCTATATTGGAATTATTTTTATATTCAAGCATTGTTGGAAAATGAATAAAATTTTGATTTTTAATATCTTGTTCAAATATTTCAAGTTTTCGACGGAAAGCAGATTCAGTTGATATCAGATCACAAATTAATTTTTTATTTCCTTGTAACTCAGTATTAAGTGCATTTAAATATTTAAGAATATCTTTTAAAAATGCCACAGCTAGCCTATTACTCTTGTTTGTTAAAAATTTATGATACTGTTTTGATTCTTCCGAATCCAATTTTTCCAAGAACGTGATTACTTCTACTTTTATATATATAAATAATTATTAAATAATATTTATACGTTAGGTCTATAGCTATATCTCAATAGTTAATTTTTTGACATTTTATTAAAAATATTAATTATTTTTAAATTTTAAATAAAATGTAAAAAAAAAATTTAAGATAGCTATTTTGTAGTGTAGAATCTCAGAAAACTTTTAGTAAAAAAATATCTTATTAATATTCAGTAGTAAATATTCTGTAGCGTTTTAAAGTTTGTGAAAATTTGAATTTTCATGTATTATTTTACGGTATTAAACATTGAAATACGTATTGAGAAAAGGACAGAAGAAAACGCTATCTTTTCATGATTACTGTGTATACATATGATGATAGTGTGTATACATTACAAACTTGGCATTAATACCATGATAAGAAATTAGATAAGGCAATTATTACTTATCACTCTCATTCAAAAGTATATAAAATATTAACTGGATCAAAAGTTATTTAAGTTGTTAGTGAGTGGTGGGCCACCCTGTATATATATTTTTTTTAATCCACTTTGTTTCATCAAAGTGCATATTATTGGTTTTTTTATTATTTTTTATTATTTTTTAAATCCACTTATGGTCCGGATGTTGTTCTTTTTATGATCAAGACCCTCGCCTATGTGGTTGGCGACCCGATTTCCTTTTTGCAAAGGAGCCATGAGGGTGGCGACTCCACAATCCGTTGCGTGGCCCAAATCGTCACCTCTCAAAGTATGTATTGATAAATTAAATACTATTAATTTATTTGTTATTTGTATATATATATATATATTGTATTTGAAGTTAATTATGATCAGTGGGATCAACTACTCAAAGAGATATCTTTAATTAATAGTAAAATTATCTTATAAAATATAATATTTAAAGTAATTTATTATTTTATCCATTTTCATTATTCTTAAATTTTATAACTAATTTTTTTTTTTTTATAGAAGAAGATACTAAAGTTAATTTAATGGACCAGAATGGTAGTAGTGATAATTATTCTACTGGTGATTTTTCTTATTAAATATTTTTTGGAAGTTTTTTATTTAAAATATTAACATTGTTTACTTATGCACAAATACTCTCATTATTCTTTATTGACCTCTACGAGGCGCCGAATAATCCAGGGGGTCTATTTTTGAATCGTTCGTTGAACGGACACGTTCCTCGAACGGATTCTATTGTTCTATTAGGTATACGGCCTTTTAGGTATTGTTCGATGAATATTTATGTTTTACGATTGTTTGCAATTTATTGTAATAACATAAATAAATATTTTGAAAATTAAATTCATACAGCTTGATTTTTAATATTTTAATATTTATTTTTAATTAATATAATACTTTTTAATAACAATAATTTATTACTAACACATACATTTATAATTTGCTAATTTAATTTATTTGATGTGAATTTATTTTAAGTAATTCGCTATAACTATACAAATAATTTAATTACACAAATTCTAACAAAAATGTATTTACAATTGCATACATGTTAAATTAAAAATTATTAATACACTTTAAAACAACAATACTTAAATTTTTGAAAATAAAGTGTTACATATATTTTATATAATTTTATTTTATTTATTCATTTTAAGATTAATTGATATAATTTACAAATTATGTTACATATAAATAAATAATAAATTTAATAAGATTTTAGTTCTTAATTGGAAAAAATGACACTCTAGGTTACGGTCTACTCCTAAATACGCTACTGTTTTGAAAAGTTGTTAACATAACAAACATATAATTTCATGAATAATTTTCACAAAAAACTTAAGGTAAATTTTCAAAAGATGGTTTATTACGAGGTTCAAGGATGCAACCAACAAAATAGTTGTTACACGTATTACGAGTGACACGGCACCGCCTTTTGCTCTAGGCTGGCGCTCGCCCGTGTCTCTCTCGATATCAGCCGTCCAGCTATTAATATGACAATCGGTTGTCATCGGTTGTCTCCCAGCCCTTGACACTGAGATAAGGCCGCCGCCGAATGTGGATTACGGATATTGCGTTCTGTTCCGTTTTCGACGTACACCTCCTCTGGTGTGTCTCCGTTGTTTTTGAGCTGTGCGTGGTTTCCTGGTGGATTAAGATTTGGTTTGTCTTTCTTTCTTTTTTGTTGATCGATATAAGGAAACTATATCGCGAAATATATATATATATATATATATATATATATATATATACATCTTGTGCGGTCATAGTGGTGGCGAACGGGATATATATACAGGGTGATTCATTAAGGATAAGACACTCATTTTCTCGGTAACTATTGAAAATTTTTAATTTTTGGTAAGGAAAATATTTTTTGATTTAAAAAACTCTACAATAATATGTAGTAAAAACATAATTTTTTTGATCCCTTCAAGGTTAAAAAACATTAATTTGCATTTTCTTAAATGGGAACCCCTATTTTGAATTTGTTATTATTATTGAACATAAAAATACAAACAACTTTGCTCTTACAATTTTTTTTTTCTGATCAACCGTTCGTCTGTTACAGCTTGTTAAAGTTAAATAATTTTGGACTAAATTTCTATTGTTGTTTTAATGTTTTCAATACAGAAGTCACTATTTTTCTATAGTGTAATATACACTAATTGTTATTGACCAAGATATGACAAGTAAGATAGCAATAATAATTTACGACACACTAATTTAACCACAATTATCTATTATAATAATAATAATAGATTCAAAACGGGTCTTTACTATTTTATTAATAGCACAGTCTATCAGTTTGTAAAACTAACTGTAATACTGAAGAACGAATTTCTTTAAAAAACCCAACTCTTCGCCTAGTATTGTGACTCTTAAAATAATCGAATACTACGATAATGTTATCATAATCATTGCTTACACAAAGTAATCTTGTTGTTGATAGATACGAATTAAAAGTTGTAGCATAACCTCATAAATTGTATTGAATTAAATACTAATTCGCCGCTGTATTACAATCACGCGTGAATAAAAATTCTTGTACATTATTCAATAAGACTTAACATAACCTTAGAAAACTGAATTGAGTATTAAATTAACTCGACATCTGTATACAAACTTGCGTTGTTTAACGTTTTTGTATATTAAATGTTTAATAATGTTATAAATAAAGTGATTCAATGTAACATATTAATTATTTTATTTTTATATCGTTACAATTAATAAATTATATTTGAAAGTTTATTGAGATCATTTAAGGAAAAAAATGTCAAATAATAGGTAAGTTCAATTACGAAACAATGCTTATATAGATCTGCTTTGATCATTTTCTTTTATCATATAGCCACAAGGAAAATTATTTATATTGGAAAATTAAGGAAACAAATTACTTAAGAAGATATTTACATTTTTGGATTTTCGGCTGTTGAAAGACAAAATTACTAACAATTTATACCTAATTGAATGAAAACCAATATTTTTCACTTTTAAGGAAAATTAATTTTGCTGTAGTGTGTTTTGTTACTTAAAAAGTAAGTAGATATAATGATGTAATAATAGATGTGCAGTATAATTAGGGTCATATTTAGGGGAAGCTTCAGGCTCCCAAAAGAATAAGTTGACAATCTATTTTTTTGCTCATATTACATTTAAATGATCATTGTAATCTTGATTTTTTTATTAATTATTTTTCATTTATGACAATATTACCCAACTATTCCTAATGAGTATAATATGCTGAATAATATTGTTATACTTAATATAATAATTTTGAAACTAGCATCTAGCGTTAACTATTTTTAATACATTTTTTTATTAGTTAATAATTTATTTAGGTAGTATTTATACTACACTTTAATTTTTTTGTAAAACTTAATAATTTTTATAGTTAGGGAAACAAATTTGATTTTATGAAGTAGCTTAGTTGTAAAAAAAGTAGTTATTAAAAACTTAAGTATAATGTGTATGCATCAAACCATATTTATAAGTATTCTATTTTTTTAGTTATATGAAAATTGAACTATGACTTAATTGAAATATTGGTTAAAATTTGATTATTAATTTGTAATTTTAACTCTGGCAATGATTTTAAATAAAATATTGCATGAGTCTAATTTGTATATGACAATAATTGTGAAATTACATAATTGGAGTATGGGAAATAGTGAAATATTTAGTAATTTAAATAAAAAATAATAACTTTATTTATAATAAAATAAGTACTTAGAATTTTTCTTACATTTGTCAATTTAAAGTTTTGTATACATTTTTTAAATAAAAGATTATTAGGCATAATCAAATAATAAATTTTCAACTCTGGGCAAAAAATAATAAACCTAAAGTATGTATACCTAATTAAAAAATTGTATGAAGTAGCTACTGAATATTAATTTTCCATTTAATAAAAATAATTTTATTTATGATTGTGTTTATATTTCACTGTAGATGTTAAGAAAATATTATGCAACTATTTTGATAAGTTTATAAATATTTGATTAAGCATGCGTAGATTTGAATAAACATAATTTTAATTTTACTCTGTAATAATATGTGAAAATTTGCACAAATTATAATTATTATAACTTGTTACATAAGTCGTCATCCATAAATTCTTTTAACAATATTTTTTGTATTGTAAATTAAGTTTTTAGTTACTTCTTCATACATAATAATTTAATTAAAAATTTGTTGTTTTTAATTTAATTTTTAGTTTTAATACCTGCCGTTGTAAGTATCTGTACTTTTAAGTATGCACTTGTAATTAAGATACTTTGATATCATAAAATTAATATCCTAATTATATTAAGAAACAAAAATGATTTAATCATGATTTTGCTATTGCCATGACTATATCATGAAAAAGAGTCACATATCAAATAAATGCACAGTTCTCAAAAAAACTTAAGTGAGTTTAATAAAATAAATTTTGCTTTTTAGCATTACCATTTTTATCCCATGTAAGTTAATTTAATTTGTTTTAAATTTAATTTCAGTTACAAATATGATGTCTATTGGTTTTGTATACATGATTCTAAGCATATAAAATTAGTAAGCTTTAATTTCTTCTATCAAGTATAAGAATATTGTGAGATCAATATTAGAATGAATTGTTATATTGAAATTACAGTATTGTAGTTAAATCTCTTGTATGTTAATTATTCTTATAGTAATACTTTTACTTTAAAAAATTAAAACTATTGATAATTGTTAAAATTGAACTTAAAGTAAGGTAATGTTTTAGAGTAATACATGTAGTTATTGGAATACTTATCTGATTAAATTCAATTAGAAGGAGTAGTAAGAAAAAAATTAGCTTAAAATTTAAGGTAGGAATAATTGATGTTTTAAATACAATGTGCAAGTACTTAAAACAACTATATTAAAATTATTATTTTTATACATATTATTTCTACACAGTTACATCAATGGCTTGTTTAAAGATTTGTGCTATCAGTCAACAAATATTTTCATTATTTTTTGCTTACAACTGAGAATGGTTTATTTATTACTACAGTAGAACCTTAATGAGGCATAATACTTTCTGTTCCCTCGAATCTTATTTACTCAAAAAAAAAAAAAAAAAAGTATAGATAATACAAAGAAATTATTTGAAGTTTTATAATAAACTATTATTATAGTTATAAACTATCAATAAACAAATTGTTTTATATTATGTAATTTCATAAAATTAAAAAAAAAAAATGATTGTGAGATTGGCAAAACGCTATAAACTTTCAATAATAGATTGCAAAAAATAAATAAATCTAATAGTAATTGTTAATTTTTTTAATTAAAATAGGGCAATGTAATAAAGTAATATTGTAGTTATTATAGGACTCTTTTTATGATGTAATATTAGAGGGATTAGTAAGAAAATATCTTAAAATTTAAGATATATGTAATTGTTATTTTATATGTTACATTCAAGTATTACCAATTGGAATCAATCTGTTATATTTTTATAAATAGGTGTTGAATACAAACTCAAATTCTTAAATAATTTTAAGTCAATTTTTTTCTTTTAATAGTTCAAAAACCTTATTAAGTTAAAAAAATAATTTCTCTTGAGCTTTAACTTATCCAGGTTCCACTGTATTTTAAAATTGGCATCAGTGCCGTGCCAAGAAAAGGGCATAGGATGATATAAGGTTCATACACTTTGCAATATTTAATTGTTATAATTGACAGTTATTTAATATTAGAAGATGCTAACATATAATTTAAAAAAAAATTATATATATAAATTTTATAAATTAAAATAAATACATTTTTACTTATTCACTTTTCATTGTGTCGGTGCTAGGTTTTACAGTTTTTCTTGTGCTTGAAAGAAAGTAGTTTAGGTGAGATAAATTTCTTCCGATAAAAATTATTACATGATGAAGATATTATTTTTTTTTTTTTAAAGGGAGTAATAATTGTTATTCAGAACAAAAACTCCATACTAGACCTAACCCCAAGACCTATACTAGTGGAGGCATGATATAAACTTTCAAGAATAGTCAATACAAATTCTATCTCGTTTGTATTAACTTCAATTTCATTAAATTTCTTCATATATTTTTCTATAATAGAATACATAGACAATTTTATAGATACATATCATTAATTTTGTTAGAAATGGAATCTATTTTGTTTCCGTCAGCCTCAATTAGGGTCATAGGGACTAATTTTACCACTAGACCTATTGTGATAATGTTAATATGTATGTATATTAGGGTGACCCTTAGCTACATGAGAGGTTTTTTTTTTTAATATTTGTAAGTGCCACCCCCTAGAATTATTTGAATACATAAAAGAATAAATTGTACAAAATTTGGAGACGATTGTCAACTCTAAGACGTGCCCCGAGGGGGTTAAAAATAACCCCCCAGGGGTGATTTTTTAGTTTTTTATGTCTATCTCAAAAACTTTAGCTTTTGCGAAAATGTTTATCGGGACTTTTTTGTAGGTATACAATTTTTATATAAAAAGTATATATAGAAAAATTTTTGAAAATTTCTTATTTAGCCCTAAAAAAATAAAAACGTATATGTTCTATTGTTATCGTCAAAATTGTTAATTTATAAATCGTTCATTGTAAAAACAAAAAAATTCATTTAACCGTTGTTTTAAATTTAATTAAATTAATTTAAATTTAATTTAAATAATAATATTTTAACAAAAGGCGAAGCACAAAAACAATACCTATTACAGATTGTTACAGAATACCGGCGTCTAATTGAAATAAAAGCACATTATGCCAAGAATTTAAAAAAAGATAAATTATTTAAAATATGTAGTGAATAAAATCACAAACGTATAGTAGTAGGAGTAAATGAAATTTATAATTTTAAAAATAAAAGTATAGATGATTTTATTTCTGGTGTGTTTTTTTTAATTAAAATTAAAAAAATTGTAGGTTTTGAATAGTAAATAATAGAAAAAATGTCGAATTAAAAATGTATAAAAAATTAAATTTAAAACAACGGTTAAATGAATTTTTTTGTTTTTACAATGAACGATTTATAAATTAACAATTTTGACGATAACAATAGAACATATACGTTTTTATTTTTTTAGGGCTAAATAAGAAATTTTCAAAAATTTTTCTATATATACTTTTTATATAAAAATTGTATACCTACAAAAAAGTCCCGATAAACATTTTCGCAAAAGCTAAAGTTTTTGAGATAGACATAAAAAACTAAAAAATCACCCTTGGGGG